CTGCATGACCGCTTATTTCTACTTTTATGAGCAAGTGCATCAGCAATTGTAAGAAACCTCCACGGGATCGGTACTATCAGGACTTGTTGCAAAAAGCGGTTATGTAGAAATATGGAGCCTATCAGAATACCATTGAGCAAACCAAAATTATAGATCTGGCAAGTCAACAGCAAGTTTGCCATCATCAAACTAGGTACAATTCATAATACGCATGAGCTAATCGATAGCATTATCGAGGATCCCAAGTTTACCATCTAAGGAGGATGGCAACGAATTGCCGTTTTCGCATGTACTGGCAACGAAAGCACTGATAGGAAACACGTATATGTTGGAATAAGATCTACACAAACCAAACATTAAACTATCACAACAACCATCCACTAGACCACAAGAAAAGCTGTATCCAAAGCCTTTTTCATAAGGGCCGTAATACACTGCAGCACGGCAGAATTGAGGAAGCAGGAAGAGAGTTATGTATACAGTGTATTGCAAAAGAACGGGTACACAAGCAATTTTATCAGAGGTAGCCTGATTAAAAGAGTGATTTCACAACCGAGGCAACTAGTGGCTAAACGAGCAGTACTTTCTTACACACACAATAACTGCCTTTTTTTTCAAAAATTGGTGGGTGGAACAGGAAAATGTGCTCGTGTGCTCAGTGCAGAGCATGCGTGTGATCACTTTTGCTTTTCTGCCACGGGCGACATCCCGTGGAAGACGTGCACATTTTATTTCTCCTTGAGCGACCGATGACGTTACTAGGTGTGTTAACTTATGTAATCCTTTATTGGGGTTCCTGACAGCTAATGGGTTTAGAACGTGTTTGAACTAACAACGTGATCGTTATTACCACATGGAATCTTGCTAGCCTACAAACCAAATACTACCTCGAGAGTATTGCTTTCAAGACCGGTTACATTATTTGTGTTAAGATGCCCGCTTATTTCTTGCGAACACTAACTTCCGACAAAGCACGCGCCGGAGGGTGACTTGGCGTCCACCAGCCTTGGACGCAGATCGGTCACATTGAAATCAGTTACCGCTGGAGAAACTGCATCTAGAACCTTCGCTCGATTTGGAGCACAGGTGTGGACACCGATCGTGCACTTGTATGTGCTGACATGCGGATGTGCTTTGGCGGACGCCGACGACGATGTGAGCGCATTAACGCCACCCAACTGACAAAGCCAGCTGTTCTGAATGCGTCTCGAAGTACGCTGACATGCGAGTTGAGTAAGCGCTCACTGGAGACAATTGAGGGTCACTGGTCACATGTTCGTCAGACCTTACTAGCAGCAGGCAAATCCTCATGTGGTATGTCTAATATCCAACATGGACATTGGGTCTTTTCGCAGTCTCTGGAACTTATGGATGCTCGCCGGCATATCCTGGCTGAAAGCGAACACAAGGAAACTCGCAAAGAGCCCCGGGCAAGACTCCGTGCAAGCCTGAAGAGACACTGCGAATCTTGGTAGTCACAACGTGCGTCAGAGATGGAAGTGGCCGCTTCCCTTGACAACCATCCGTCTGATACGGGAAACGGGCAGCAGGAGACATGGCGTTAGTGAAACCATACGTGACGAGAGTGGACAGCCTATCCATAATTTGTCAAAACGTTTGAAGCGTTGGGCTGAGCATTTTGAAAAGCAATTTAATCGGCTGAAATTGTTCTATTCTTCGCCGGCCAGTGATCGCCCTGCTCCGTGGGCTGTCCCTTTGTATCCACCCTCTCGCTCAGAAGTGGAACGTGAGATCGGACTGTTGAAGTTAAACAAAGCCGCTGGACCAGATGATCTTCCTCCAGCTCTCGTCAAATTCGGCGGCTCAACTCTTGTTGATGCTTTACATGAATTACTAGTGAAACTGTGGGAGCAGAAGTCTCCCAACCGACTGGAGCCGCTCCGTTATTGTTCCCATCTTCAAAGGCGGTTCGCGTTTGTAATGCGGCAACCATAAAGGAATCAGTCTGATCTCCATCGTCTCCAAATTATTCGCCTCCATAATTCTTCACAGAATGACTGGCGCTCGTGAAAGTCTGATTCGTGAGGAGCAAGTCGGATTTCGTCCGGGTCGTAGCTGCATCCACCATATCTTCACTCTGCGTCAGTTGTTGGAGCACCGTCACACATATTGGCGGTCAACCGTAGCCGTGTTCCTCGACATCAAATGTGCCTTCGATTCGGTTTATCGAGGTACCCTTTGGAATTGTCTACTCAAGAAAGGTGTGCCCGAGAAATATGTAAATAAGATCCAAGTATTATACGCGCGTAGCACGGGCAGCGTGAGGGCTTGCGGCAGGTTGTCGCTACCCTTCAATATCTCCAGTGGTGTGAGAGGTGGATGCCCGCTGTCACCTTTCCTCTTCAAGTTCGCTATTGACGAAGTCAAGGAGATTACATTTACAGGACATGACTTGGAAGGTATAGAGCTACTCCCAGGAGAACGACTTCTCGACTTGGAGTATGCGGACGATATTGCCCTCATTTTTGACAGCTCCCAGACCCGCCAAGCCGAGCTAGACAGATTAACACTGGATGTCAGCCGCTTCGGGCTTTGCTTTGCACCATCGAAATGCAAAGTGTTCCTCCAAGTTTGGGAGTGATCTCCTCCTGCGCGGATCCTTGATGGAGATCGGCTAGAAGTCGTTCGGCAATTTAACTACCCGGTAAGTTGTATCAGCGTCCGTGGGATTGAGGATGAGTTCACGAACCGTATAGCAAAAGCTCGGGGCGCTTTTGCTAACCTTCGTCATCTACGGCGGCGGCGCGACATTACTCTCACCCCTAACAATGCAGCAGAACGTTCCACCTTACTGTACGGTTGCGAAACCTGGCCCCTGAGATCGGCGGACATGAGGAGGCTAATTAAGTTCGACCATCGCTGCCTTCACAGTTTGGCTCACATCTGGTGGGAACACCGCGTGAGTAACGAGCGTGTTCGACGCCTTGTTTACGGCACAGGAAAAGGAACTGAACCACTCAGCACCGTTATTTCACGCATCAGTCTCCGATGGCTCGGCCACGTGTTACGCATGTCAGCTCACCGGCTTCCACGATGTGCTTTGTTTGTTCATCGGGGATGTGGTTAGAAGAAGAGGAGGGGTGGCCAAGCGATGACTTGGTCCACAGGAATGAAGGCCCTCACTTCTGAGCTGGCCTCGGTTGGAGCGTCTCGGCTCCCTGGTTGGGGTCCAAAAGACGGTGAACACGTTTGGCTGGATACACTTGCTGATATGGCTAGGAGCCTACCTCAGTGGCGTTCGTGCTGTGAGTTTCTTTGTCCCATCCCATCCCTTTTAGCGTCCCTTTCCTCCCACGATCTCATTTCGTAACGCAACACATAATAATTCTTCTTTTTGCCTTGTAGCCGGCTACTAGCTTACCGGAACGATTCTAGCATGCAACTTTTGTACTTATTTTCCTCTTCTTTTGTGTATTGCGGCACAGTAGCTGAGGTGTTTCCCACCTCTCGCTGACGTGTATATATCCTCCTTTCAAGACCGAAAGAAAAAATCATACAAGGCAGCCTGAACCATGTAATCTACACGATAAACTACAACGAATCTGGCAAACACTACATCAAATAAACATGAACGGAAAACTGGGATGCAGATCACCGAACGCAAAATGGCCACAAGGGGACATGATCCACATGCATTGGTTTCCACACGAGGAGATTAGGAAGGCTATCACTTCGATTTAGAGAACGTAAAGATCCTAGCATGTAGAAATTCGAAACAAACCAGAGAATTGTTGGGAGTTTGTTATTCTACAGCCCAATCCAATCAAATGACACGTTAAACTAGCTGCTGTATTCGCAGCCATACGGATGAAAGATAGCCAATAACCAATATTTGCTTTTATATCACAACTAGACAAGGCACGAAAACAACTAATATTGCGATTAACTGACCTCATAATGGACTGATTTACAGTGTAACTGGTGCAGAATACCTTTTAAACCAATTGCTTGTTTTTCTACAATGTAAGGAGTACACAAACTGACTCGTGTTATAATGATTGAATGCTGTGCTAGTTGGAATCACTTCGAAAACTAAAGTAACGCTTTTTGCTTTCTATGGGTTCCGACACTAACTGTCATTTTTCACGCCGACCATACACTGTCATTGCCAATAAGCGTTGGTGACGAACTACAGGCTAATTTAGTCACTCTTAGACACTTTTATTCCGACGAAAATATACCCTTTGACTGGTGACAATTAATCCTTATCACTGTCCTTAAGAAATACTAATGAACAATTTGGGAAGAACCTCGTAGTATCCGTCTAACTTCAAGTCCATCTTACAGCGTCGTCTGTGCAATCATCATTAGGTGCGAACCCGATGTCCTGATACTTGCGTCCAAGTCACTCGGGGCTTGAACGCCACTGCACTTTCAAACAGTTTGTTATCGGATTCTTTGACTAGCTGCCGAACTAGATTCTGTTAATTTACCTGTTGCTTTTCCTTAAGGAAATTAACCGCAAGCCTTCATTATGTGACCTCCAGTTCGCGATTTCTCTATCCATGTGTGGTTCCCACTCATTAAAATAGGGACTGACCGGTTTAAGTCGAGTACTAAAAACCATGGAGAGACCTGGCCAGTTGCTTTCTGTCTTTATCCATCAATTTATATTCATCAGTTGAGGTCGGCCGGCGGCTGCGTCGTATGCGCACCAGTTTTGCAACCATAAGGTCTCCGGTTCGAATCCGCGTAGGGGTGGGCGTCTTCGCGGTATAGTCAGCCTGCGTGCGACTGGTGGTGGTCGCGCGGCTGCAAAACGCCGTTACGACATACAGCTGACACATTTATTATCTACTTTTTTTATCCATTATTTGTCAATGTTTTATATGACAATTCTTCGAATTCAGTGCCGATCATTTAGTCCTTCGCATTCCATAGCGTATGTGTTCCCGTTTTCGCAGATCATTCACCATTCTACGTCTGTTTTTCGTGAACTATATCCATTTAAAATTACTTATCTTTGTCCCCCAATTCAGATCGTCGCCCCCACATATGCGAGCATTGTGACAAATCATTTGCCAGAAACGACCATCTAAAAAACCACCTTAGATCTGTTCATTTGAGTAAGTCTGTAACGCGAATTTTATTATATCATTTGCTGAGTAGCTTTGTTGATTACGTCACGTGGCTTCGTTGATATCATGCATATACTGTTTGTGATTGGTCATTGTTTTTTCTTTTCGCGACTCAAGGGCATCTCAGCTTGCACACGGTTTCTTTTGCAAATCACTTGTTCGAAATAAAACTAACAGACATCCATTTCTTTTGGCTCGCTTATACTAGCTTCTGGTTAAATATTCGTTGTTTGTACTTGATTAAATTCATTCTAATCGCCGAGAAATCATTTTCACGCAACCTTATGCTCATTCGTTAACATGGTTAAAAATTAATAGCGCACCTGAAGTGTCGTATTGTTTTTTCGGTTGTTGACCCTCGAGAATTTGTCCGTGGTCAATGTTTTTGCCATTGCGAGCAATTACAAGACAAATTCATTTACCGACTGATCATAGGTGGTTAGCGCTTCGCCACGCGCACGCTACCTGTCGCCCGTGAAAGCCGCACTAGATAACAGCGGGCCCGATTTCCTCAAAACCTTGGTTACATTGAGCACATCATCTTGCGTCAGTTGTTATGCACTGCCACTTACACTTGCGACCCAACGTTGTCCTGTTCCTCTAAGGTTACCTGTGGATGGATGTGGTCTCTGGGTTGATTGGCGAAGGTGTGCCCGGGGGCTATCTGAATATCATGACGGCACCTTATGTGCATATTTCGGACCTGTGGTAATATGTCAAGGACTCCTGACAGGGACTGCTGCTGTCACCTTTCCTTTCCCATCTTGATATTGATGAAGTTATGTGAACTGCATTCCTTAAACTCGACTTGAAAGATGTGGCGTTTCTTCCTGGTGACCAACTTCACAATTTTGAGTACGCTGACAGTATTACCCTATTATCTGACGAATCACAAGTATGTCAAGAAGCACTGGACACTTTAGTTCTAGCCGTCAATCGTTTCAGGTCGTTCTTTGCATCCTCGGAATGCAAGGTTTTCCTTCCGGATATGCAGTGTTCAGCCCCTGCGTTAACCCTTCATGAGGATAAGATGAAGGTCATTCAGAAATTTAGCCGCTTGCATTTATTATGTCCAACACATTTAGAATAGAAGATTTGGTCCCAGACCTCATTGCAGAATCTCGATACGCTTTTGAAAATCTTCGCCACATTCAACATTACAGTTGTCTGTTCAACCATCCTGTACGTTTGCGAAACCTTGTCCATCACATTGACTGACGTAAAAGTGCCTTCTCCGCTGAGCTCTTATCTGGGAAGAACGCAGCGTGCGCAATAAAGATGTTCTCTAACTTGTTCCTGTCACACGGAGAGCGAGTGAGCCACTCAACACCGTATTTCACACTGTCGGTCCTGAGTGATTGTCCATGTGTTATGTATGCCAACGCAGCGGCTCAAACAACCTGCTTTGTTGGTGTGACCGAAAGGAGAGGAGGGCGAACTAGCTGATTTATCGGTCAGGAGGAATGAGTGTCCTCACACTGACACATTTGGATGGATGCACTTTGTGATGCGATTATGCAAGCAGAAGAGCGACGCGGATTTACATGGTGAAGCAGGCGGTCGCCTTGCAGCAAGCAAACAGAGCAATTGTCTGGACGCCTACTCGTAGTTCGCCTATGCGATGATTGCTTATTATTTGGCTACGCTGGAGCGGATTTGATTAACTGGTTCAAAGGAAGAATCTCATGAATGCAGGAGCGTCGTTAGTCATGGGAATGACCCAGTTATTTACATGACTTATTATGTAGCCATTTTTGCTGAGCTTGCTTTGTAGAATAAACCGTTTGTCCCTGAAGAACCGAGATTTTGCGACACACTAGTTGGCGTGGCGCATAACCGACCTGAGTGGTTGTTCATCTTTGCGAATTTTGATCTCTCCCTATCCGCTTACCTTCCCCTTCCAACTGCCACCTCACACTGCATTGATAATGCAACGTTGCATTATATTACTTGTTTTTGGTTTTTTATTCTTTGATGTTTAGTATATCGATCTTCATATACATTTCTTTTGTATTGTGGCACAATTAGCTGAGGTGCTTTCCTCACGTGGCAATGTGTAATGCAGATTATGTTGCTCTCACTTCGAAATTCCCCTCAGTAGATGTCTCTCGATACCCGATTTAGAGCCCAAAATTTTTGAACATATTTCGTTAGATACCCTTGTTGACATGGCAAAGTGCCGATCTCAGTAATTTTTCGTTGCGAGTTTCCATGTCCTCTTCTTTTCTCTGCTGCGCAACCACCATCAGTCGCGCGAATTTCGTGCTGTACGCTCAAAACAAGACGGCTGATGTGCTCTGCTGTAGTTTGGCCAAATTCAGCGTTGCCTCAGGTTCAACAGTATTCCTCCCCGGATTTACCTGTCACTGTACTGCGGGGTACCAAATCTAGTGCAAACCCCAAGGGGTAAAGCCGGGAGTCATGCATGTGTTAATCGCGATTACCTGAAAGCCGCATTCCGACCCTTCCGTCAGTGATACAGACGTTGGGAAACCGAAGGTGCATGCGTGCTACTCCGGCGAAGCTCGGTCACCACGACTGTGCCTTGTTACTCTTGGCACGGCTTGATTTACAATGCTGAGTTCTTTCGATTTTACCTGAGTCAAATACGCCAACTTTTTCCCTGCGATAATCGGCGGGGTTCAGGCTTCCTGTTGACGATCAAACATAATATCACCAACTTCATGTCTAGCCACCGATTGGTTCCGTGTGTGCCGCTGGGTGGGGACTAAGGGACGTGAAATTTGAGTTAATCGAAGTGCTTGAAGGTTTGTCGCGCACCGGAGATCAGTGGATGGTCGGTCTGCACAATATTTTTGATTCAACTGTGTTTGTTTGCAATTCTTACAAAACTAAGTGTACGAAAACGGTGTCAGAAAACAAAATATATTCCATTTCCTTTTTCACGATTTTCGAAAGCTGTATCTATTCGCTACACCATTTCAGGAACGATTAACAGACTCATGGCGCCGTTAATCAAGTCGACGATATCAGACTAGAAAGAACCTTATCAGTCTTCGTATTGAGCGCATTCATCCGGAGACCACACAAACTTGGATGAAGCACGTGAACACAGTTTTACCCGAGGGCGCTTGCCCCAACTGTAGTGAATGTTCCTCGCCTATACCACATCAACCATCGTATTGGTTTGCAGCTCTACCATTTGGCTATAGGTAGGTTCTCACTTATTCGAATTACTGCCCATTTCTTGGACATAGGTGGTGCATTCCAACTCGTTTGGGCACGTGCTCTCTCGCACTGCGACAATGCTGCATCTGAATATGGTCACTGCCACTTCATCCCTGCGTGAACTCAATTTACCTTCTCCATGTTCCGCCGGTAACGAAGCTTTGTGTTTTCACGCATCCTTCCTCCGCTCTCATTTGTCCGTGGGCCAGGAGACTCTTCAGTATCCTTTTCGCCTCCACTCAGAGGCTGCGCTGGATACGGTCATGTTCAAACTTCGCGTTCCGGTGTCACCGATCGCTTAGATTTCCCCACTATGCCCCACCATCACGGGTGATGCAAAATTCCATGGATATATTATTGTTGTTTAACTCGTTCATGTAACATGTAGAATGACCGACTACGTTATAGTTTCACCCAATCAGCTTGGTTTGGCTGACCATCTGATGGTTCTTCCACATGTGCTCCTCAAGTACACCGATAGACGCACCCGTTGTTGATGCACACGTGTATAGCTCGGATTTTGTCCGCAAGTCTATTGATAACGTACCACCGAACTAGAAGAAAAGCGACTTATTCTTCGGCGCTTCTCTGTCAATCCGGATCAGCAGTGTGCACATTGGTTAGGCTACTGATGACGGCTCGAAGAGGCATGCAATTTCACCCTTGCAGCTGTGCATCTGAACTCGGTCACCGTTGACACGATAGTCATCGTTAATTGTTGCGGCTCATCCCCTCTGTGTGAGAGCAACATACCTGCTTCTCACGTGGGACGGCCTCGAAGCTGTCCCTGTTATTACACATAGCCGCACCGTACCCTGCATGTCACTACAGCTGCCGGGGCTTCTGAACTAGGCGAGACCGGTTACAACGCATTGCACTTCACTTCATTGAATCTTTTGTTATTTTCTTTCACCATACTTTTCCTGAAATTAAGATATTTTATGTGCTGCGAGGTATTACCGAAATCCGCGCTGCCTTTTGCACGCACCGATTCTAACCCAAGGGACCTGTGTAGTTATGCAACCACCGGACAGAACTATGTCCGATGCAGCTCAGTAAGTTGCTACCGTCTTATTTTTTTACACGTTGTGCACTTTCTCGTTCAATGATGGCACATATTCACTTGTTGTTTCTTTCACGCACTTTCTACCTGAAAGTTTGGCACATTCATCCTCAAAGGTCCCCTATTTTTTACTATTTCCGGCGGTGATCCTTCGGCGAAGACAGGCTGATCACTGCACGGTTGAGCTAGGTATGTCCGCATGTCACCCGGACTTTGGCTACTGACAAGCCGGTGCCTCAGCTTTCGTTTCTTCCGCCCTTTGCCACATGTTCTTGCCAGTTTCCTAACATTTATTTGAAGGACCATCAAATCGCGTGTATCGTATTTACATCATAGCTGCAGACGGCTTGTGCGCAGTTCCCAATCTATTGTCGGCATGTGTCCCCATTGACTTAAAGGTTGGCCGATGCGGAAAGGGAAAACGTCAACCGCACGCCGACACACTGCACGGTATACCGGGTGGTCGCTTACACCTACGCGGTTTCGACTCGATGAGCTTATCCTTTCGGACACGCTGGTTCTGTTTAATACACCGATCCATCTATGACGCTGATTGTATTCACCACACATTTCCAGTGTGATAGGTTTCTTGAGTTCACTGCGATTGCGTCCCACGAGACGTACGTCTACAGTCGGAGTCCCCTCTCTCTCACGTAAAAATTCCTATGTTACTTTTCTCTTACATCATTGCGCACTTGATGGCATCGTTGTCACCCAGCCAGTCACGCCGTTCGCA